AGAAACTACAAATGTCATAGCAACACTTTATTCAAAAGCCCGAGCAACTACAGTTATAGGATATAAATTCACAGCAACATTTTCTGAAAAGAAAGTACATTGTTCACAAGTCTCAAACGGAAATAAAAACCGACTTGACCATGAATCATTCTACCAGAGTAATAAAGAACGACTTTTACATCTCAATCCCGAAGATTGTAAAAACGAGTTACTCCGACTAAACATCACCAAAAATAAAAACACAGATAGAAATTTAGTATATTTCCAAGTTTTTTCAGATTCTGTACATCAAGCAGAACTTGAAAGATATCAAGGACATATAAAATTAGATGAAAAATACCCATACAACGGCGCACACGGACGATTAACCTATGACATACACGATAAACACTGGATACCACACATTGGTATAAATGACCCATCAAACTGCAAAGCAGACACAAAAAATAAAGGATACCAAGAAATAATGTTTTTCGATTGGAAAATACAACTCGAAAAAATACAACTCACACGAGATTTATCAGACAACACAATGATTTACCAAGGAATTAGATTACCTTGTAAAAACGACCAAGGTTATTGCGACCCTACAACCAGAACACAAGCAACAATTGTTTGGTTCCCCGAAGACACATGTACAACATTTCAAGTAGCAAAAATACACGCTCGTATGATAAAATTTCACGAAAAATATTTTATACAATCAATACCATATGAACATGTAAATCCATTACGCAAAATAAGTTCAAATTTTCGAAACATTCATAATATAGAAAATAAATTAACACGTTTTCAAATATATCAAGAAACAGAACTTGCATGTAAATACAGAAACCCACTTCACAAAACACAATACTCTGAAATATTAGTTGATTACAAAAATGGATTCGACATGACCACTGGAAAAATAAAAGTCGACCCATACGCCACAAGTCATCCCCTAAACGAAGGAACATCATATATACCAGTTAATTTTCAAAAGAATACAGGTCAACCTGGTGGACATTTAAAACCCCAAAACGATCAAAGCACACGTTTACAAGAACTATCACTAATGAATAATACATATTTTGGTAATATCCACTATGATATTCACTTAGATATGAAACTAGACTACACGATTAGCCGAATTTTTCAAGAAATGTCACTCTCCGAATTAGAAACATTACACCAACTATGCGAATTAGAAAGAACACAAATATTACAATCACTTGCACTAGCAGTATTAAAAATACCCTACGCAGGATATTTACTATCAGGAAATAGATCAAATTTTTTAGACTATGAAGGAAACATCTTATGGTTTTATACTTGTACTAAAAAAGTATCACCACTATACGTTTTTGAAGATAAACGATGTTATAAAAGAATCCCTATCTTTTATAAGAATAAAGTACATTTCGTTGACACACTTTCACGAAGAGCCTATTTCTGGGATACCGCAGTTCCATGTGGATCAGAAAATAGCCACAACGTAGTACAACTAAACCCTGATGAAGATAAATATTACCTTCTCACCCCATATCCCACATTAATGCAATCACTCAAAAAATTTTCACCAGAAAGCATTCGCGCTATCGCTCGAAACCCAAATATAGACTTACAATCAATAGGAATATACTCAAAATCAGATATTCAACATCACATTAGAACACAACAATTCCAGGAATTATTAACACAAATGGACACAATACAAAGACAATCAATTGACCAAAACTTACGCAAACTTGCCGAAACCGCAGGATTTGCAGACATCTATACACAAGACTATAGCGGATATTTTAAAGACATTAAAGATTATATATATCTTAACGGTGAAAAATACCGTCCCCAAGATATATCACCTATCAATATTTTTAGCTTTGTTACACTCAAGAATGAAATTCTTGATTTTCTAGGATGGCCCTACTACATCTTAGAAAAACTAACTATTTTATACGCAATGTTTAACTTTATTGGATTTCTTTTTTCACTCTTAAAAGGAATCTATAACACATGTGCTATACACACACAAGTCAATAGACAAGCAAGTGTAGCACGCATACTATTTGCAGGATTTTTTGGAATATTTTCTACATCTATAAACAAAATTCTTTTAGACGCACAAATAAAAGAATATAACACAAAAATAGCAACAAGACAGAACACATACGACGAAGAACATAACAATGCAGACACAACACCAACAGCACCACAGTTACCACCCCTACCACATAACCATCCATTATCCCTAGTCCCACGTAATTTTCGAAATTTAGCCATAACACATAATAATTTTAGACCAACCATATCACAAAGTCCCATCCAACATATAATGCCACACCACTCACAAGATGAAAATACTTATGAACAAATTATAGAACAACCCCATACCACCGCTTTTCAGTCTCAAAACAATAATTTTTTTAGCCCATGATGAGCCGACAACTTGGATCCCTACACCGATCAAATTCCCACCCAACCAACCTCACCACTCCAATCCCAATAATACCACTTTTTGCTTTTCCGCCACCCGATTTCCCATCCAGTAATGTAACATCCGGCATGAATTCCGATACTAAATCACACATCTCAGTTTTATACTCCATCTCACAACTCAATAACCCGAATATTGAAACCCCCGATGAATTTGCCGACTCCGAACCATCTCCATCAAATAATTTTCACACCAATCCCTTAAATTTTTCCCAACCCCCTTTTCAACCCATACTACCAAATAACCCTGACCCAACCAATTCTACACCCTCTTATGCTTCCCAAGTCACTCCAACCTACTCCTCACTTCACTCAAACCAATCATCTCATTCTTCAGACACCCCCCGAATCTCCCCAGAACTAGATAATTTCATTACCTTACAACAACAATCCTATCACCTTGACACCCCAACCATAAACCAAATCTCATCCACAATAGATTCATCCAACCCTCCTACCCCTACACCCTCTTCAATTTATACTGATTCATTAGCACCATCATCCACAACTACTGTATCTTCACTCAGCACTAATAGAGCTTACCGCACTTTTAAAAGGAAGTTCCCCAACCATCCTTTCCCAGCGAAACCAGGAACAGCCCGTGAATACATCAACCATCCACAACACACTAACACAAAAGAATTTTTAGCTATCACCTTACCCTCATTTCCACAATACACCTTAAACACCCCTCATGACACTAACGAGACACGTAACTTTGTAGACGAATACGTTTTAATGCCTACCCTTCCTTGGACCTCATATTATCATTTTACAAATCCCCTTTGCTTACCTTTATCTAACACTCATATCGATATAGAACGAAATATGGACATGCTATATCGACTCACTACACCACTAACACCTAGACAATTTACTTACATTGGATACAAAAAATCACTAAAAACACACACTGCACCCCGAGCTAATGAATATACACTAGAATATTACGACCATAACATCATCAGAACTAACCAAGATCAATTCTTAGACGACGATCGCTGCTCTAACCCACAAATCACCGAGAAATTTTTCATTAAAACACCATATGTATTTACACTAAATATCTTCGATCGCAAGTTTGACCACATTATCTCAGAAGCACTAACAGACACGCAAGCCTACGAAAGTTTTAAAGAACGCTTCCAAATATTTTCACTAACCTTTCATTTCCTTGCACCACATGAAAGAGATTTGCACTGCTCACACGATATTATGTTGCGCACTAAACAAACACACACATATACTTATTATCGTTTCATCCAAAATCACTTTGACCTACACACTCCCTCCAGACAACCACACCATCGTTTTCAATTCATCAATTCCAAATACACCTCACCATTCTTTCTTAACTTCACATATTGCATTAAAGATACTAACCTTCATGGTATTCTTCGAAATTATGATCCCATAACCCAAATGTATATCTTTTGTCCCATCACCAAGACCTTCAACGCAGAAGAATCCCGACCCTTCCTCATCCCACACGAGTTTGTACAACCTATAGAAATCCCCATTTTAGAATTCATCCATAACACTAAATTCAACCACAAATTATATAATCTAATCCAAAACACACCTTATGAATTTGCAGTTGGCACTGAAGAACTAACCACAATTAAGGCACTTCAATTGCTTTGGCCACTGCTTCAAACTAAAAATATCATCCGCATATTAGCCAAACTACTAACAACTTCAGATCTCATTCACGACATTTTCCCCCACGGTTTCTTCCCCGACGACTAACAGGTAAGTATGAATTATACATATTACTAATTAATTCAAACATTAGAAACTCACCATTCTTTATCCATGTTTTCTTTAGAATTTTAGCCTTCATCCAACGATCATCTGAAAAATTCACAAAAGAAAAATAAAAAATAGCAAACTTCTTCAAAACTGTTTAAAACCCTATTAAATTTTTGCACCAAGAATTAAATAAATATAATACCAATGCAGTAAATTAATTTATAAATTTTTCCCCCACCAGCAGTAAATCTAATAATGATGAAAATTTGTAACTTAATTTCCCCCAACAATTAGCAGTAAAATTAAAATTCTATGTAGTAAATTCATAAGAAGCAAAAGCAGTACTAACCTTTTGATATTTTCATTCACTCGCATAAGAATTCTATCCACACTCGCACAGCTCGCATTGTTTAAAATAATGAATTTCAGTTTCAAGCTTTCACACTCGATAACTCTAACACAAGATAACACGTTTCAAACTTTCCTTTAACCCGGTTGGAAAGGAATTATATACTAAACAAAACTAACCAATGCAGCTTACTAAACACCACAACACATAGCATAACAGCATGACTAAGAAAAGGAAACCAACGGTACCCAAACCGGATTAACCCAGTTTAAAACTGGATAATTTATTCTTTTGAAGACTATTATAAAGTCTAAGAAAGAAATAATAAAACACAAAAAAGTCGAAAGACAAACCCATACCACAAACAATTTGATTTTTGAAAAAAGGACACAACCAACAAAACATAAGAAAAACCACAACAAACCCAACATAAAACGTTGTCACATCTCCGCAAATTTCACAGACCCATCTACCACTGGGTATTTCAGTCATGCCTACACAATACGAATGATATCCGCGATCACAATTGTCACAAAACATCAAATTCTCCTCATCTGTTGCGCTTTTGCAAGTCATACATACTTTGCATTCCATACATTGCCAGTTATAAGTCATAATCACGCTAACTATACTATCTGTAAGCTCTAAACAAGTAGGATGTCCCGCATTGGTACACTGAGAACAAGATATCAAGTTTTCCTGTTGATTGAACTTGTTTTCTTGGTTATTTTTGAAACAAATGCCGCATATTGAAGCTATGTTTGTCATGCTGTCAACTGAAATCGACGGTAATTCTTCTTTGAACGCGGTCGAGGATGCGCCACTAGATTTTCGGGATTTTGGACTCGAACAACTTTTTTCATCAATTCCGTTGTCATTATTTGCTGCTTGTCTTTTCGCTGCCGATCTTCTAGGTTTTGATCCGCTTTTTGAACTTCTACTCGACGAGCTAGGTTTGGAATTGCTGGTTGGATTTGGCGGCACAACCGGATTCACCTCCGGCGCTTCAATGGTTACCTCAGTTTCGGAGTCTGAACTATCTGGAAAAACTGGATCCGAGGTATCGCCACGTTCTAGGACTCCCAGCGGTCCACAAGATACAGTTTTTAATGGAAGATATTTCAAATGCTCGCTCGTGTATTCTCTGTAGGGTGGTACGGTAGCCAACCGCGCTTTTTCTTCGCTTATTGATTTACATATCTCAGGATCATACTTGGGCTTGTCGCGGGGGTAGTGAATGTTGAACGTTTGCAGATCGAAATAGGCTGCCCTATAAAAAACCAATCATTCGAAATCTTGACATAAAAACAATTCCCTAGATTCCGAGCTTGTACTCAGAGGAAAACAAGTCTGAAAGTAGTTCCCAGAAAAAAATGAATATTGAAAATATTTTCGAAGCTGTAGCTAGAGCAAATATACTTGGGTACACGCCCGTATTAGTTTTAATAGCTTCCTCTCTCTCTTACCCCGCGCACCCAGATAAAAAATCTATTTTCGCTTTTCGAACGATGCAGTTAACGTTAATATTTGCCTTGACTCAAAACCAACTACGGCATATGTTTTTTTTCTTCGATAGGAACATTTGAGTTAGAAAATTTCAGCGATCGAATGATCAGCTAGAAATCAGTCGATCTCATTTCTAACGCAGTCTTCAAACCTTGAACGAAGAAAAATCTCAAAAAAGAGCAATTTGGATTTGAAACTTATACTTACATAAATACTTAAAAGCACTTGATTTACTATTTAAAACTTGTAATTACATTTGCCTCAAACTACACCAAGGAGAGACAACATCAGGGTAAAGTATTGGAACAGGGTGACATTATCAGTAAGTTACTCTGAAAAAACTGCTTTCGAGAAGTGTGGAACCTGATCTAAACTACATTTTATGATTGGATAAATTAGATATTTTACCAATGTAAAGTATTTAATATTAACCAATCATGATCCATCTAACTAACAATCCACTTATTTGTAAGTGCTGAAATTACTTGTAATTTCAGCACCAGAGAGATTTGAATTTAACTTAGAAATTAGTTGAACTCTCCCGAGTACTTCAGCAGCCGCAATAAACCAGTATACCCTAGATCTATTGAGCCTAGCAGAGACTAGTTAAACAACCTGAGACTAGATAGTATAAGAGTAAGATTAGGATCGGTATTAGACTAAGAAGTTGCACGAATCTATCCGGCCGAAAATAAGATAGCGTGACGAGCAGACGGTGTACCCTATCCGAAATTACTCTATGAGTTATACACTTCGGTCCTAACTCAAGTGAATGGACGAGAAAAATGTACAGATTTCGGAATTAGATAAATGTGTGCATCAATATAGTTCTTTTTTTTTGGATTTAAAGAAACAAGTGAGCTCTCTGGAGGGAAGGAGGGTTCAACAGGAACGCTGCACCAGCAAAAATTGCTTGGTATTTCAGAACTTTCTACTCAATCCCATCCCAACTCATCCAAATGGGGGGGGGGGGCAGGGAACTTAACGGAAAACTGCTATCATTCATGAGCGTCTAACATCATGGGACAATGATATTCGAAAAAAAAAATGCAACGATTTCGATCTCATCAAAACCAACAGGAACTGTTATTAACATTTAAGATGACGCTGTTAAGAAAGTATAAATTAATATCGAAAAACCCGTTCCCAACAGGTTATATCCAATGGTGCAACACAAAAAATTATCTTTATCAAATTCATTTTATGGAGAGACGAATAATTAAAACAATTTACTTTTAACGAAAACTTGATCCTGTTTCCGATATTCTTGAGATACGAGTAATTACACTGTATTCTATTTGTATTTTTGACAAATTTTTCGTGATATTTTTTACAACTTATGAACAACTTATGGGGAGGAGCCCCAAATAGCACCTTTTATCTTGAATCTTTTGTTACACAGAGATTATCTAAAAATCCTATCTTCGTTACCGTCTCGTACTCTAACCATACAGCTATCTTGGCGGAATATTTCAGTTAAGTGTTTTGGTTTTCTCAGTTCGAATCAATTTATTCCACAGAATCAAAAACAATTTTCAGTACCTCAAGTAGACCGGTTTTACAATAAAATTTACTGTAACTTGATTAGAGGTTAAAATTTACTCTTGAGCATATTGCTGATTGTACTTTTCGTCGATATCTTTTCGCAACTGATGTTAAGGTTTTTCAGGGCATACCTCGACTAGCTAAACAGTTTTTTGTATGTCCCCGTGTTGAAATGTAAATGAAGTTATACATCTTTTTACTCACTTTCATATATCACCTGAATGAAGTTAATTAAATTCCAAAATTTAACAGTGGTAAAGCTGCGCTTTGCAAAAGCTAGCGACAAAACGACCAAAAAACTCTATAAGTCAAAAAAAATAATTAGAAATAAGCCTCGAAGTAGTAAATAGGTGAAAATTTTGTTACATAACCGATTCGGACCTTAGACCTGGAAATTCAGTCCCACGTACTTCTATCTCGGCCACGGACGCTTAAAGAGCGCCAAGCACGAACCACACATAAATCAGAACAGATACTATGATTTTTCTAATACAACTGATAAGGATTATAGCAAAAGTGATACCAAATGAGCAGCTTAATTTGCGAGTTAGGTTGAAAAAAAACTAAATCCTAGTTCGCTAGTTAAATAGTATTTGACACCCTCAACCGAAGCAAAAACTCTTACCTAATAAAATTTCTACGCTGAAAAGCAGCAGTGGATTTAGGATTTTATCGAGAAAGGATTTTCAAAAAACTTTTGAAATTGTCAAACTATTTTGGGCCGACGAATTTGATTTACTGAGCTTTATTAAAAACTTAATTTTGACCAAAAGTTCTGCGCCGCATGCAAATTTTTGAAAAACCAGACCAAAAGCCGGAAAAACCAGATTGTCGTAAAGTAATCCGAATACATAGGGAGTATCAATAAGATCAGACACACAGAACTGATATTAACATTTTGCTGTCACTGCAAAAGGAAAGTGTCAAGTAACAAAGTAAATCATACACAGAGGCAAAGCTGATCTTCGCATCACTTGCGGTATACAATAAAGCTTCAAAAATCAAAAGATAATGCCTTGAACTTGAAAATAATGATTGAATTTTGTTGAACGAATTATAGGCCAAAAATTCAAGAAAAATTTTATTGGATATGTAAAAGATACCAATTACCTTCAAAACAAAAGAAGGATTTGGACTGAACTATATCCATTTCTTTCTGATAACCAATAGAAAAGACATTTCGAATAAAACCCAAATGTACTCGAAAACTTAATTAAACCTTGAAATCAAACAATCTGCTATCCAAAGAGAACAATCGAGAGTCAAAGGCCCTATAGTAAAAGATAAAAAAGAAAAAAAATTAAAAACAATTGCCACATAAAAGAGCTAGCCCAAAATCTGAAACAACTCTGAAAACTTATGAAAATAACCAAAGTTCTTCAATCATTATCAATTATGAAATGTATTCGCAATGGTGAGAGCTAGATCATAACAAAAAAAAACAGTAGAAAACGCCAACAAAGAAAATAAAAAACGCAAAAATTTCAGCCAAAAAGAACCACACTCCTGAATCTCGTGCACAACTTGCCGCCATATTCCTTTGTAGACAAATCAGTCGAGTCAATCTTGCAAAAAATCTGGAAATTTAACTTTTTTTGACAAATTGAAACAGTACGTTAAACAATCAACTTCAATCGATCTCAAATAAAATTGCTCCAACCTAAATTAACACCTAACTAATTAACACTTAAGCTAGTTTCGCGCACTTTTTGAATTAAAAAAAAAACAGAAACCATGCATCCGAAAAAAACTGAAAAAAAACAGCCTTAAAATTCAAAATATTTTATTTCAGACAGAAAATTTTGGCGCCTATGAAAACCAGAAAACCATTAACTATATTTACTCTCATCAAAATGAGGGAAAAAAGTACTCCAAAAATCTACCAAAAAGATAGAATTAATTGCCCGGCAAGTAAGCCAACAAAAACTGTGTCGAAATCAAAAAAAAACTACAAAAAATTAACTTATATCTAAAACACTTTTCAGCTGTAAAACAATTATCAATTAAGTCGTTGAAGCCAGCTGTTAGACGTGCAAGTTGGGTAGAAAAAGAGATGCATTTGGAAATGACCAAATTTCAGTCATCCTGTGGACAAAGTTGCTTATGGAAAAAAAATCTAGTAACCGATTGAACCCTTGCTTATCGCAAGGGTAATAACAATTCCGTAAATCCAATTTTTCGAACAAGTGAAGCATCAAAAACAGCATTTATTCAGCAATTAAACGAGTTGTACTTCAGCTTAAAAAAATTGTAGCCAATTTTGTTCAAACTTTAAGGATTCGGTTACGGAAATGACCTTCATGGTTTTTTACAAGAGTCCGTTGAAAAGTATCTCGACAATTTACTCGATTCTTGATTTTGACGAATATAAATTTTCGCGAATACATCTAACTATTAAAGAATGTGACCTGATTAAGGATTGGCTGGGAAAAACAATTAAAAGGAACAAAAACAAATTGGAGAACAATTTATTGGTCACTAAATGCTTTTAACATGATTTTATCGGAATCTTCATTGATAAAAATAAGATCTGATGTTCCGCCTTTTATACGTACTAAAACTAAAAAAAACTGGTTTGAGCCGAGATCGAAAAAAAACAAGGTGTGCATGATCAACTGAGAAAGATGACGAAAACAAATTCTAATTAATTTGTAGATGAAAGTCATCCAGTCGGAAAGTTCAGTCGTCAGAAAAACTATGCTCAAGTAGAAAGCTTCAAAATGTTGCTGATACAATTGAATTTTTGGAGGTATCAATATCATATTCAGAGCTAGCTGTAAAGCTGAAATACGAATTTGAAATAATTTCAAGAACAAAATTCAAAACACAGGCAGTGGAAGCAAATAAGCATCATTCACCTGATCATGAGTAAAACTAAACTCGATAACTTTTAGGGCGTTGCAATAATAACGCCACTATGTTCTCCAATTTCAACATCTTCCAGATACCATCTCCATGTCAAAACTTTGGAGCAAACAAAAAAAATGGATTAGTTACAAAAAAAAAAACAAAAAACAAAAAAAAAATATTTAGAATAAAATGGAATGAATGGCTAGTTTTTGGGAATACTCAAAGAAACTATTTTGGATCCGAAAACCAAATGCAAATATTCCAATTTAATTGAGCGCTGGATTCCAATTTTAGTTTAAAGAGTTCACACAGGCATATTAATTCAAAAGTCGTCATGCGCAGTAATTACTTGAGATAAAGTAGACCTCAAAAATTCATCATAATCATGAGCTCATAACTTTTTTCTTAAGCGAAATGGGCATAGCCAATTATAAACGTAGACTGTCATTAACCTGTTGTTTTGATTAAAACCATGAAATCGATTTGACAGGATAGTTAGCGAGAAATAACTTTCAAAAACTTGTCAAAGACACATTTCCGAGGTCCAAAACTTTTGCTGTCAGAAAAATTTGGACGCAGTTGCATAAAAAATGAGTTTCAAACAACCCTTTAAATGAATTGAACCCAAAATTTCAGATATAGCAGGGAATTTTTCGAGAACATTCAAAAAATTTAAAATTTTAAATTTTTCGAGAACATTCAAAAAATTTAGAACATTCAGATTTGAGAAGTTAGTTTTTGAGCCAAAATCAAGATGATTCACAAAACGGTGGAAAAAATATACTTTTCCGAGGGTCAAAACTTTATGTTAGAAAAATGGGTGTAGCCGCATATGCAGGGAACTTTTCAAAACAATTCTGTTCATTGACACCATAAAACTCAAATTTGAGAGAAGTGGTTACCGAGAAAAAAAATTAAAAATGTGTGTCAAATATTTCCTCATAAAAATATGGGTCAAATATTCTCTCATAGACTTTTTCAAAGGCTGTAGACGGAGGAAACAAGTAAAAAGATACTCTTTGGGAGGAGAGGGAGGTCTTTCAATTTATTATTTTTTTAAATTTTCCAATAGCCAAAAAGAAATTTTGTCAAACCGATTGGTAAACAAGCAACCAACTTGAAAAGAGCGGAAGAGAGTATTAAAAATGCGTTTCCCTTGATACGACCTAAAATTAGGTAAAAAAACCGATAAAAAATAGGCAGAGGAATTTTTTAGCAAAACAAAAAACAAGGAAGGAACTACGAAGTCAAAGTAAGTAAAATTGAATGAGAATGTCAAACACTAAAAGCAACTTTAAAAAGAAATGCGCTCAGCAAGAAAAACGATTCAAAGATCTGACAACTAAGTCGACAACAGATAAGCAGACAAATAACAGGCCGACAATTTTATTTCAAACAGAGTATTTCCCGTTAAAAAAAGAACTTCGCCGTCCAAGGCATATTAGTTACCTCAAGTCTACGTTGGCTGGGAATACATGAAAGTTTGAATTCTTTATGAACCAAGATACAAAGGATTCAAGTCAATCCGTTAAACAAGTTGTTAATCCGAAAAAAAGTGTCTAAATTCAAGTTTGATAACGCTCGCTAATCGCAAGCCTAATAAACAGTTATTCGAAATAATATTTCGAAAGAAGTAATTATATGCTAAGCCTTGATTCATTTGCTTCAAATAAAGGTCGATTTGATTTATAAAAAACCAAAAAAAATGTAAAGGAAGTAATTGTTTTCCAAAAAAATGACCTTTTGCCAAACAAGCTCAACAAGTGACAAGATTTTGATATGCAAATAATGTAATACAGAAGTGTGATCCAATGGACAAGGTTTTTTACGGGAAAGAAGGTGATTTTACCTGCTAGTTCGACGCTCTTTGTTAATTTGTGCACTCCATCTAGCTGTATCCAAGATAGCCTCCCGCATCAATTTGTTCATTTTTTCTCGGTCACTTTTAATTGCCACCATATCTGTTTTCGCTAACAGGGCCGCCTTCTCTTTCTCTTCTGCTCTTTTTTGTTTCCAATACGCAACATACTTTGCGTGTAACTCTGGGAAATGACATTGCATCAGTTGATGAGCATCGTCTGCTTTCAAAGCCGTGACGCCAAATATTTCCTCATTTGAATTTATGATTTTCATGTGCAACAGGTATCGCCTCTCTTCGATTTCGCAGTTTCGTCTAACAACATCTGGAAACTTTCGACGAAAACTGGTGATACCCAAATATTGGGCCAATGTTTCCTGCAGAATGTAATCTTCGCCATCACCTAAAGGCCATCTGTATTCGATGACGGTTTCAGGACCCGGTAAACCGCTAATGTTATTGCTAAAACTGTGAGAGGGGGAGGAAGACACAACAGGGACCGACTTAACTGGCGACGAAGGAAGGGACGAGTCACTTGTAATCGATGAAGGCAAAGCAGAATCAACTGATTCTGTAAATAATTCTTTTTCGTCGCCTATGCAACTCATTTTCGTTGTCTATAAAAGCATCAGATACGAAGATAGTCTCTGAAATTTTTCACTAGGATCAAATTTTTTGGTGAATTTTTATGGGTCCCAACATTCATAGATCCCAAAATAAAAAAATAAGTCGCATAAGTCCCCAAAATTTATCTTTTTGAAATCTGATTGGTTGAAATTTGTGACATTCGACCAGAATGGCCAAAATGCAATCTCTGAAGAATTCGAAATTTTAGCAGTAAGCCTTCCGGATTGGTGGTTTTTAAGAACTAAGGGCGTTATTGGAACGTTTAGCCAAACGGTGAAGGCTGGAATATTCTAGTATTTTAAAATTTCAAAAATTCGAATGATGACGTCACATTTCTGAGAAATGCTGAAACGGCCATTTTAACAAAAAACGAGTGAAAAAACAGAACAACAACATTAGTTGCGCTGACGAGAACAACTTTATCGAAATTGAAGAAGTCGAAATTGAAGAAAAACAGCAGCAGATTGCAGAGAACGTTCCGAGTTGCAACTATTGTGCTGCTACAATAGTTGCAAGGCCGTTGCAAACAACGGTGAAGGGTAAGAAACCAGCCTTCCGGATTAGGAAGAAATCAAGATCAACGGGCTTGTGTAACATTCGTCTACTGCAGTCACACATGAGGCTTAAGAAAAATAGGCCCTATAACCATTGGCTCAAGAGTCAGGGACACTATCTCTTGTGTTTTTGTACCTCAAATCAGTCGGAGTCTATGTGACATTCGACCAGAATGGCCAAAATGCAATTTATGCAGGATTCGAATTTTGAGCAGTAAGCCTTCCGAGTTGATGATTTCGAAGGATTAGCGACGTTATTGGGACGTTTGGCCAAACGGTGAAGGCTAGAATATTCTAGTATTTTAAATTTTCAAAAATTCGAATGATGACGTCACATTTCTGAGAAATGCTGAAACGGCCATTTTAACAAAAAGTGAGTGAAAAACAGAACAACTTTATCTGTGATTGCGAACAGAACGAAAATCGAGATTAAAGAAAAACGACAACGAACTACAATAGCAGAGAACGTTCCAAGTTGCAACTATTGTGCTGCTACAATAGTTGCAAGGCCGTTGCCAACAACGGTGAAGGGTGAGAACCAGCCTTCCGGATTGGTGTGAAGTTGAACTTAAGGAGCTTGATTCACTGGATTTAAGAATCCGGAAGGGTTTCGGGACTGGAACTTTTAGCCTTTTATATAAACTTTTAGCTTCTTGTCATGTCTTGAATTGAATTTAATTAACAACTGGATTCATTTTGATAAGGATGAGAAGCTAGGAGTTGGGGGAAAGGGTTGATCCATCTTCGATGGAGATGATGATTTTTATCTACTGAACAAAAACAATAGTAATATAATAAGCAGTAGCCCTGTTTTTAGGAGTGACCTCGTGGTCTGGGGATACTGAGACCCAGCCATGAGCTCACTATTTTTGCATGTAATTCAGTTAATTTGAGCGTTCTGGTTGAAGCCGGAGAGCAGTAACGTTTTTGTCGACCCGATGTTCGAAAGACCACCGAAAAGTACTGGCTTGGTAGAGACGGTGAAAAACATGCAAAGCTCTGTTTAGACGCTAGCCAGTCGTCTTAAGACTTAGTTTTGTTATCCGTCGATATGTATCTTCCGGGCGAATGTTACATGTATGTTTTTATGGCGCTCCTGGGTGTTATTCTTTTTTAACATCATGACCGGCAGAACCGTTAACGAGCACTCCGCGCCGAGCGGATGCTCACATTAACGCCCTTAATAGGCCTAAACCGCCGGGGCGGAAGGGTAGTTCGAAACGCGGAGGCCTTCCGAATTGCCGTGAATAGTTTTTTAACCTAGTTAAGACCGAAAATTCACGAACCAGGAAGGGTGGGGGGATCGGCCGTCCCCTCGTCCCCTGAGTGGTTGGTGACCAAAAACACTTAAAGATATAAGTAAAACCAAACAAAAAGTAGTATAGTACCCAAGAAAAACAAAAAACATAAAAAATAACCGAAAAAACCATAAACAGTAAAAAAAGTAAAAAATCAGTAGAAATCATCCCCCCAGACAAGATGTGATTCAACCCCCCCCCGTTTGTTGTTGATAGATATATTGTTGTTACAGGCATTTGTATCAGTCAGGATCGTTACGATCAATTTTGAGGCCCGTTTGTGAGGCTTGTACTGTAGGGTTATTTGAGCATTTAAGCACGTTAATGATAAATTGCGCTCATTCCGGAGGGGTCAGCTGATTTGCGCTCAATTCGGAAGGGTCTTGGGTGAAGACCGATCCGGCAAGCAGTACAAGGAGCAACAAGAAGGGGCTCAACGACAACAACAATCGACTGTTGGGTATCGTTAACAAGTTTTGTATCCCTTTTGGTACAAAAAGTAAGATAGTAATCTGTGGGGGGCTCGACAGTGCTGCACTGTAGTGACCCTTCACCGAACTGCGAATATCCGAGTTAAGCACCTAAATTCGGATAATAAACAAACCCGGAGGGGTATAGTATTACTAATATTATTACTTATTTAGCCTATATTAATAGTCTTATATCGTTTTTCAGTGAAAAACAACGAAAACAGACCGGTTTTTAGGGTCAAAATAGCGATATTTTGATCCCCCCACAAGTCGCGATTTTTGAGATATCGATATTTTTTGAAACGGAAAAAAACGCTAAGTTAGTGTGTTACATCGTAACTGCACTACCATAATAGGTAGAACCGGTTAAGTTAAGTTCGAAGGTGGTTGGAACTAATTTGGTACCGAAAACTGAAGTTTCGTGATTTTTGAGAAAACGGAACACTAAAAATTTAGAAAATTTTTTGAAATTTTTGAGGTAGGACAGTAATAATAGTTGTTCGGACAACGTCCACTAGTGAATCTACAAGTTTTAAAACCCGCTACCCGAAAGCCTTCCGGGTTGCATAGAAATCGAACGTAACGTGTTTGATTTGGTGGATTCATCAATCCGGAGGGGTCCAGGTAGCATAGTTTTTCGCAAATTTTTTCTACAATAGCGTTTTAGATCGGGTCTTTTGCATTGAACTAGAAGAGTATAGGCCTTCTGAGCTCGGATCAATAATTTTTAGGTCGAAAGGACCAGATTTGCGGAAAAAGTTAGGCGGAACCTACAAGAGAGAAAATTTTTGAATTTGGAAAAAAGACGTTTTGGTTAATAACTTTGGAACTACAGAGCATATCGAGTCAATCTTGGTACCATTAGATCAGAAATTAGCTGAACTTACTAGTAGGAAAGAGAATTTTTCGGAAAAACGAGCGTGAAAATTTTTGAGATTGTTTTTAGCAAATTACACAAGCTAGGTATCAGTGACTGCACTGGTAACTTGCCTCTCAAAAAGAACCAGACTAATACAAAACAGGTCCGAACTCGGATATTCGCGACACTAAGTCTAAATTAAAAAGAGCGTGACTCATTGGTGTGGATTGGAACATAATACGTTTTTGGGAAAAGTGACTGCCCTGAGGATTTTAGTAGGTCTAGCTCGGGCAGTCCGAAGGCAGATAGGTAACACAGTACTCGGTGGGTGCAATAGACGCCCACTTGAGAAAATAACTGCCTTCAAAGTTTTGTCTGTTTGGTGCAGCACCAAGCAGGGAAAGCTTTTTCTTTAAAAGACAGGTTCGACTATTGTACTGCGACCGACTAAGAGTACAAGACACATACGTTTTTTTATATATACAGTCATATTGTGTCAATATATATTTTTTGTTTTTGATTTTAAATCAACCTAAACTGTGCTTGATTGGGTAGTGAGTACACTATCTTTTAAAATTGACTGATAACATCATATTGTGCTAGTTTCCAGATCTTTGGACCGATAATCGGCTAGTGTGAATAAATTTTGTACAAACTGTACTCTGACAACATACAGGGATTCGTGGTCACTATTTAGTAGAATCTGGTGAAATTTATTGTGTTGTGTCATTGTTATTGTTAATAAAACTATAAGGTCTCTAGCAATTGAGTCAAGAGTAGGCATAGGAAAGTGACAAATAAAGAAAGAGTTTAGACAAGTCAAGGATACCAAAACGAGGTAATAGCTCTAGGAAATTCATACCTGAAAAGCAAAGAAAAACGATGACCGATCCTTTTGTGGATTGGATCAAGCGAACCCGGTCCGATAAAGAGGGGACGGTTTCAGGCAGAATGGTTGAAACGAGAAGTCAAAAGACCTCAGAAGAGCGAAGAGAACTGTTAGAAGTGGAGGTCAATACGGACCATACCATGAACGACAACCAGGGAGTAAATGGACTGGAAGGGAGAGGCAGAAGGCTGGCGAGTGAATCTACTCCGGTAGAACAAGGCCATGATTTTGCCACTTCCACCGGGACGTTGGATCGAGAGGAGATGTCGGAACTGTCCGACATCTCAACTGAAGTAACGGCAACTAGAAGATCTCCGACAGACAACACTATGATGGCAAGCGGAACTGGAAAACAAACAACCTCATCATCGTTCTCAGAAAGAATGAAGAACACCTTCGGAAACATCTTTCCATTCAGCATGGGAGGAGGAGCAGGAAACGATGGGGAGTCCCAGGAGGAAGAGGATGAAGAGGAGCAAGGGGACTTTGGATCTCAAGTCAGTCTCAATAGTTCGATCCAGGAGAGTGAGGCACACGTCGGAAGAGACACTGGAACCAAGGATAAATTTGGTGTAGTGACAACGATAAGCAAAGAGGCAAACACACCGGGCCAGTCCAAGGACTTCGCGATTAGGACAAGTTCGGAGCCACAACCTGAAGAGAGTAGAACCAGAGGGCTTGGCAACGCGTTAGCGGATCCTGAAATAGATAATGATAAAACGTCAAGACAGAGAGTCAAGGCCCGGATCTCTACCAGCACGAAGCTACCTGGGACCGACAGAGTTACACCACCACTAGTGACGCCCCTCATGGATAACGGGGCAGCACTAGAGGAAGCCTTTAACAACATAGTGGGCAGTTTAGGAGAACAAAATGAACAGATGTCGATAAGGATGAGTGTACTGGAAAGAGCAGTTCACATTGAAAGAGAAAGTCTGCGGGAAGA